GTGATCTGTTGAATTTTTTCGAGCACTGCCAGGAGGGCGCTCCAACCCTAGGACGCAAAGGGACCCAACAGTGAAATTGGTTTCGCTGACACAAGGAAAAGCAGTAGTTGAATTCGTTTCGCTGTCACCCATCTCTTTTGGGGACAAAGTGAACAGGTGAGGTACTCATATTTCTTGAAAACCCCATTCTTTTTATAGTTATTCAGCATTCGGTACAAAGACTGACCGAAAACAATTCGTCAACGCATAGGCAGGGAGGGCGCGCCCTTATTCTTACAATTGATTTTTTACAACTACGTGTGCTGTGCCCACGTTTTCTTGTATTTTATACAGAATGGAACAAAAAATACGCTTTTATTCTTTTTCAACTTTTTATCTGATTGAGCTCATGTAGAAAGTTTTATTTTTAAAATAATTACAATTTTATAAATGAATTATTTTTTTAAATTTATTTACAGAGGAATAAAATATACATTTCACAGTACTACATGAAACAAAGAATTTTTATATTACGTACATTCGGAGTAACAATTGATCATGTTTTGCGAAGTATGCCTAATTCCAAAATTTAATACATGCATAAGAACACAAATAATCAATTTTCAGGCAAATAAAAAAGGCACGTGTGTCTTTTTTTATGTCCAGATTTAAGAAAAACTATCGTACATAAAAAAAAGCTCCTTCACCTCCCGTGCGATTTGACGTGGAATGGCTCTTGCGTGAGAGCAAGTGCACGTGAGGCGAGATGCATGAAATCGTTGCGCGCACGAGTGCAGTGAAACTTCCTGGTGTTGACAGTACTGCATCACGCAAAAACGTTTACAGAGAAGTTAAAACAATGTGTTCGTTGTTATGAAATATATCATTACATAATTTGATATCATCCGAGTATCATTGGAATATATTTAATTCAGATTCTTTGATTAATCTGCGTTTCCCATGCATTTCATTTTTTAAAAATTTCATCTTATATATTGGAGAACGGTACTTTACTTGCCTTCCCTGTTTTGCTTCAGTTCTTTTTTGTGCATAAACAGGAAGAATTACCTCCACTGCTCATCCGAGAGAAACGATTTAAATGGCGGCGGTGGCCGATGAGAGGAGAGGGAGAGCGTCGAAGCACAAGAAAGGGAAAGCGAAACCTCCTCCCGCGATGAGCTTTTGTGGGTCTGTTTCCGACGCGCGGCTGCTATCGATGGGGGCAGTGGAAAGGCGGATGAAGACAACACAGTGGCCCGGATCTGTAGAAACGTGCTGGAAACAATATCGGAGGGGGGAGAACCGCTTCCTTGAGATAAAGACACGGAAGGACAAGGAGTGGCGGCGGAAAGTAGAGAGAGAGACGTCAGCATGACGACCGCGACGAGAAACGTGTTCGCTGCAAAGGAGTTGGTAGAAAGCAGAGAAGGGACGACGAAGGGAGAACGTTACAGAGTAGTGGGTGACAACCGAGCCAATCCCCAACGGACGTCAATTGACGGTGTCCGCTGGCGAGGACGTCGCGCTAGTCGGAAGAGGGATGTCCGGAAAGTTAGCGTACCCATTTATCACAATATCGAAAAATTGTATCCCATAATTTTGTTCTTATTAAAGACTAATTTTTACCCAAATTTAAAAATTTTCTACTAATCCCCAACATCGAAATATTCAACACTAAAAGTG